CGGCCAGGGCAGTTGGGGGGCAGCCGTGGGGCAGGCTGAGGGCGCACGGCCCCCCGGTGTCACCCAGCCCCAGGGCCCTGCTGAATGGAGCCCTCGTCCGGGTGCTGACCTGCAGGGAGGCTGCAGCCCCGGGCCCGTGCGTGCATGGCCTGGAGCGAAGCCGGTGACGGCAGCCAGAAGGGCAATACAGGCACTGAACTTGGCGGTACATGACTGCATGGTGTGTGGTGTTCCAGTTAAACCAACCGATAATGCAAACCCAGCATTTTCATTGTCTAGTTATTCCAATCCTTGCTGTAAATGTGCCACATGAATAAAGTTTGGGGGTAAAGGAGCCCAGGCTGTGCCCATGCATGTGCGAGTGTGTATGGGGGGGCAGAGGCAGGGCTGTGCTGCCTGGATATGCAGGAGCAGGGTGACCCACCAGCAGGGCTGCCCTCCATGGGGTACACACCTCACCATGTCCATGCTCCCCAGAAAGGTAGAATGTTGGCTGTGAAAGAGAGCACTGCTCCGCTCTCCAGCACAGGCACCGCAGGTGGGCCCAGCAGTCTCCCCCACCACCTCACCTTTGCTCATGCCCCAGGACAGCTCTGCCCCGCACATGCCACCAGGCTGTCCCAACATGGCTGCAACCATGGGTGCACCCCAGCACAGCCTTCTGCCCAGTGCAGGGTGACTGACAGCCACCACCGCATCCCACTGGCATCTGTCACCCCACCCTACAGCCTGGCACGTTGTATCCGCACAGCCGCTACTGCACTTGGAGCATCTCCCCTATGGGCTGGAGCCAGTGCGGCTCTGCCCAGGGCACCTGCTCTGCCCTAGGCTGCAAAGCCAGGACATGCGCAGCACCACGATGGGTGGGAGCTGTGCCCAGCCACGCAGGAACCACCACCACGTCCAGGTGCCCAAGGGAGCTGCCCAGTGCCACCAGGTGACAGGGGCACTGCTGTGCAGCTGGCATGGAGGGGGCAGCTCTTGGAGGGAAGGGGCAGACCCTGCCCACTTGCTTCAAGCAAAGGTCGTGGAGGTTTTAATGGCTCCCTCTGTGCAGCCCCTGATCAGCTTTATTGACCTATTTTCGATGGAGTCGTCTAATTAGTTTTCTATGAAAACTAAGAACTTGGCCTTTGCCCTTTACTCCTGCAGGCGAGAATGTGACTCAGAGGACGTTGTCACGGCAGATCAATCGCCAGTTACACTTGAAAGGCAGCGGGGAGGGGACACGGGGTGGGCAGCGGGGCAGCAGCCCAGAGCAGGGCATTCAGCCGGTGCCACCTGTGCCCAAGTGCACGAACCCAGGCTCCCATCACTGGATTCAGCATCACCTCAGCCCCTCCAGGCTTTGCAATAACGTGGGGACCAGGGACCCCTCGCACCACAGACTGAAGCCAGAGGGGTCCACCTCTGCCTTGGGCAGTGCAGCAGGAGAAACTGGGCCTGACAGCAAGTGCTGGGGAAAACGCAAGTGTTTCCTGGTGGGGGCATCCCCTTCACCCAGGCGAAGTGGCGCTTGCAGGCGTGGGGCACGCAGAAGCTGCTGGAGGAGAGCAGCTACACCAGGGTCAGGCCTGTGGGGTGCTGGAGGGAGCTCCCCAGCCCACTGCAAGCAGCATTGCAGCAGTCTGGAGAAGGATCTGGCAGCCCCAACAGCATCAGGAGCTGCAGCAACCCCCATTGCAGCGCTGCAGCAGAGGCAGGCAGGGCTACCAGGTATGGCTACTGACAGCCAGCCTGCCCGCAGTGGAGGTGAGACAGCTCACACCATCACCTGCTCCATGTGGGCTCACCAGGGCTAATGATGACTCTGCTCCAGTATAAAAAAAAAAAAAAAAAAAAAAAAAAAAGACCAGAACAAAGCACAGCTAGCGCTAGCAGCGCAGAGCAGCCATGCACGGCCCCGGGCAGAGCAGCAGCCCCCAGCAGAGCCTGGCGTGGCCCTGGGGCCACCCTCCAGCACCTGCTGCAGGTGTCTAGAGGTCAGACGGCTCCAGAGGTCCGATGGGGCTGTAGCCGTGGTGCTGGGCAGGGGATGGCTCCCACTGTTCTTTGCACAGATGTATCTTTTGCCCCAGCAAGGCCCCTGTCCTGCCCCACGGCTGCAGGCAGCCAGCTGTCCGTGGGGGCTCTGGGGCAGGACAGCACTGACCCTGCACAAAGCTCTGCACCTCCTCCTCACCCGGCGCAGGGGGCTCACCGCTTCTTCACCTTCTTGACAGAGGAGGAGCTGGAGGCCAATTCCCTTCACTTTCTCTGCTCCAAGAGGGAGACAGGAGACAAAAGAAAAACCAGGGTCAACAGGTGGGAGTGCTCAGGTCACAGCAAACACACCCGCCTGGGCCAGAGCCTGTCCCAGAGCCGGCCACGAGGCTCCAGTGCCACTCCTGGCCATGCCTGATGGGTCACACCACCACCTGCCCACTGATGGCAGAGCCAGTTCCTTGCATGATGGGAGGGACATCACTAATACAGCAGTGATGAGGGGCTGGGATGGCACCCTCACAGGGGATGTCACCTTCCTGACACAGACAGAGCTTTGGGATGGTCATCTATTGCAGTGCAGGGCCTGGGAGTGAGCAGGAGAAAGAGACCAAGCTCTGCAACAGGCCAGTGGCCCCAGGAGCCCCAGCCAAGCAAGCTGGCATGCAACAAGCCCTAAGGACCACCAGACAGGGCAGAGCCTAGAAATGCTCCTCAACCATCCAGACCTGCCATGAAGTGGCCCGAGAGCAGAGCAGGAGACTGACAGAACAACAGCTCCTCAAAACAAACACTTTTCTGGTCAGCATGCACCAACGCAGGCAGGCAGGGCTGGGGGGCTCTGGTGAGCCTCACCCTTCACAGATGAGGTGTCAGGGCCAAATCTGGCCCTAGAAAAGATGGAGCCGTTCACAGCAAAGGGGGAACACTACCCTAGCCCCATTGCTGCACTGTGGCCAGGCTGCGCTAGGCAGTGCACAGATGCTACAGCCAAGACCACGGCGGGGTCAGCACCCAAAGCCAGGCTCTGCGTGCGGGGTGCCCCAGGCATGCCAGAGCCACCAGGTGCCCTGTGCGCGGGGTGCCAGAGCCCCGGGGTCCCTGCTGCATGGTGCGCGATGGGGTCTGCTGTGGGCAGTGCACTGCAGGCAGTAGCAGAGGCCAGTGAACACGCGTTGCACAGGCAGGGTGACTGTGGTCAGGACCCCGCCGAGCCCAGCCCTGCACCAGCCCCTGTCCCCAAAGGCCTGCAGAGCCACTGCCTGGCTGGCAAGCACCCAGGGGATGACCCACTCTCCGCAATGAGCCAGGTCTGCGCATCCCGGCCCCTCCAACCCTGGCGGTCCCACAGACGTGTGCTCCCGGAGGCAGTACGCGTGGTGGGAGGCCCCGCTGCCTCCCCCGGTGGGAAGGCGGCCCCCAGATCCCGCTGGGCACTGGGCAGACGGCAAACAGAGCATGGAATTTGCACGGCTAAAAGTTAAATACAACACACACACAGATTTCGTCAGAGGCCCTGGCACGGCTGCCTTTGCGGGATCCGATTAACAGGGAAATAAAAGGGCCAGAGAACCCACGCAGCAGTGTGAACAGATGCCCTATAAAAATCAAATACATGGTAATCAAGGGGACCGAAAGGTACATTTAAAAAAACAAAAACCCACCCTGGAAACAAAAGAGAAAGGCTTTGTGGCTTTCCTGGGAGGGCTGCGGAATTAATGGGGAAGAGCACATGTGTTTGATAATCTTTATATGGCAAAAGACCCATCTTTCAAATATGTCACAAATTCATATTAATCACCTTCCTATTGCCTTCTGTGGCACAGCTATTCCAGTTGCCTTGGGCAAAATTGGGAACTGTCTGGTTAAAAAAAATGTTTTACATTATAATTTACAAGAGCCTACAAGTCTAGTTTCTTTTAATGGAAAGAACGATTAAAAAAAAAAAAGAGAGGAATATATATACACCCTGGTATATATACACTATATATATATTAAAATATATATATATAAAAGACAGATATTGTAACTCCATCTGGAAAGAGAGAATGTTTGATCTTAACAATGTAACTTCTAGCTTTCAAACAGGCTCAGAAAACAAGAAGTCAGCAGGAGTTCAGATAAAGGAAGCTTAAAAGTCAAATAATTCTGACTCTGAACCCGAGACTTCTTAGACTCAAGGTCCTTTCCTTTACCCATTAATGGGCTGACTTGTGAGCTCAGGAACAAAGTGCTGCAATGTGAGGATTTCTGAGAGTCACTCATTACAGATCACTGAGTGGAGTCTGAGTTGCGGAAATCAAAGGATCCAATCTGGAGTAACTGGCTGAACTTCTGCTTGGAACTAATTTGTTCCGAGTTCGGCTCACCTTTCACCTCCCGAAGGCCCTGAGTAAAGTCCCTACCGGGGTCAGCAGCAAACGGCACTGGGGGGGATCCCAGCTCGGCTTTAATGGTCAGCGATGGG